TCGTTTTCTCGTGCGTTTTGTCCTTCCCTGCGTGTGTGACCCTGTAGGCTCATTCGACATAGCAGTATAACCCGAAATCCCTATTTCGGGTATACAAGTCATAGGCGGTCTCTAGCAAGACACTATGACTACCTATCTCGAATAGAGTTTGTTCGTGATCCTACGAACGCCAGTGATGATTCCGTTTGATGATCCTTTTGTATCACGATATCATATGTCGAATATAAGGCATGGACAAGCCACCTTATCTGATTCGACTGCTTTCTCGTTCACTAAGTTCGACTGTCTGAAATAGACGACGTTCGTCTATAGTGTGGCCACACATTTCTACAGTCTCGCTCACACGAGGGGCCCAGCGATATCTCTCTCTTTTACGAGAGGTACAAATTCCGTCTTGACTATCTACAATCCAGTACATGATTCGTTTCGTGCCTGATACACGCCTTTATAATCCTCCTGTTACGCAGGACGTTTGACGCATTCAAAGCACAAAACTCCTCATGTTGGATTCCGTAGATATCTCAGGTCTTAGGATCCAATCATGGAACCGCTATATGAGATTCAAGTCATGACGCTAGTCCATGTGACAATCTCATGCGGGTCAATCCAGTATTCCATTCTCCAACGAATACCTATGACTGTGATCGTATCCAATACTTATGATCATCTCTATAATCATCAATCACACATCATACTAGTCTTATTATGTCATCATTCCCATAATGACACAAGACTAGGGAGTTTAGTATCATTCATAATGATACATGGATTTCATAACAGATCTAGCATGCAAGAACATGTAATGAATCAAATGCTCTCATAAAACCGTAGAAAGTATCAATACATCAAATGTATCTGAATAAAGCTCATAAACAGTACATCATAGAGCACTAAACCAACAGTCAGGGCGTTATAGGCTGATCATGGGCCTAGGCTTGGGTCCAAAATGCGTTTGGCTCGTGCCATAAACACTCCACAAGTCTCGCATTTGGCCATTCTTGAAGAAATTTGTTGAAAAGATAAGAAGAAAGAAAGAGAGAGAAAGGAGAAGAAAGGGAGAGAAGATAGAGGAATGGGGGCTAGGGGAAGTGATCACTTGCGTGACGAGTCTTAAATTTGTAATCCGAAACACAACATACCCGCAAGTATATGGATGATGTAGTAACAGGGTCGAACACAAGGACTTATGCGGTTGAGCTAGGAATCGATTAAAACTAGGATAATGGTGAAAATAAAATTGGGAATTGTTTTTGTGGTTTTGGAATTTGCAGAAAATGGAATGAGATAATAAAATAAAATCAAAGACAATCAATATTCAAGAGAAAATAATCAAATGGAAAGGTTATGGAAATCGGGATTCACCGATCATGGAAGGATGTCGTAAGGAATGATGGACCTAGATCATGCTTGTTCTACAGCGAGGGATTCGAAGAGTAAGGTCGGGTTCGGCTCTTTCGAGTCGAATACCCGCTATCCAAGAGAACACTCTATCCACTCTCGTGGCTTAGAGTGAAAATCCCGAATGCATTAAATTCCCTTGTCACAATCCTAAGTTGGATTGAACCGAATTTCTTCGCATTCAATCTCAACCCATTTCAATGAATGCATCAAGAACCAAGAATCCATGTCTCCATGAAATTCATAATTTTGAAATCTACCCATAAGATTTTCATCAATGGAAAGCATTGAACACCATTCATCAAACTCTAGCAACCAACCGAAACAAATGGATCACCCAATTCAATAAATCCTAGGTTTCCCTAAACATTCAAGAGAGAGAGATAAACTTGAAGAACACAATTTCCATTCAATGCAAGGGTTTGAAAGCATAAATAAAGCACAATCTTGGGTCCAAAGTGAATACAAACATCCTTGCATGAGGGCTAATCCCTCATCCTACAACAAGAAAACTACTCACTGCTCATGTTCAAGAACACCAAAATAGCTAGAGGAAACATAGAGAGAAAAAGGGAAAGAGATGCTCAATAGGATCTTCAATCTTCAAACCAAAGCAAACTCCTTGTTTCTCCTTCAAGATTTCGACCCTAGGTCTTCTGAAGGATAGGAAATCGCCGCCCTTGCTATGTAATAATCGAACTCCTCTCAAAAGTCCGAGAAAATTCAGACTTAATCAATTTCCAGGTCACGTGGTCAGTCGGACCAAGGTTTGGTCCGGCGGACCGGACGTAAATAAGGGGAAGGAGCGCAGCGCAAAATGCTCCTGGTCCGGCGAACTAGAACTGGTTAGCTCCAGACCAGAGCTTCAGAAATTTCCCCCGGCTGGCTGGGCAGGCGTGCTGGTAGACCAGGCTTTGTGCGGAGCAATTCTGGTACGGCAGACCTGTGGCGGTCTGCTCCGGACCGGGATGGGCGTTGGTCAGATCCTCTTGCTCGGGATGGTTTGGCAGACTCGTGGACAATTCGCCTGGTCCGGCAGACCAGACGGGGTCAGCTCCAGACCAGACGAATTCTTCACTTTTCTTCTCGTCTTCTCTCCTCTTCTAAACTGAATGAACTATGCACGATTGGTCCGTCAGAGTAAATTTCGATGTGCCTGTTTCTCCGTTTCTCGCCGAATTTCTGTGTTGTGCCCTCGAGGTCCTACCAAAGTCAAGAAATAGTCCCAAGACCCTAGAATGGCTCTAAAAATGCTTAAGAGTGTGTGGAAACCGTTTGGAAACCAAAGGCATACTCGTATAAAATCTAGTTAAAATCCGAGCCATCAAATCCCCCCAGACTTAAATCTTTGCTCGTCCTCGAGCAAATAAAATCAATGAAACACAAAGCCTGTGAGGGGTGGTGAGTAAGAGATAGATCTTTGATAAATTTCGAGATCTAGGCTACTCTAGTTATTCTCTCTTGTCAGCTAAACTTTCCTAAGTATGGGGTGTCTATGTCGTCCCAAGTCTACCATAAGAGTAATTCCTACTTCCAAGCACTCTCCTAAACCTATTTACCGTTTTTTTTCTAAGATATGTTGTCTCTTCATTTATTTTATTCACACTTTTTTTTTTCTTTTTCGTTTCTTTCTCTTTTGTTTCTTTTCTTCTTCCTTTCAAGAAAATGCTTAGAGAAGTAGTATCCCGAGTTCCTAGGACGTTGAAGTTGACAAGTGTCTCCGCTTTTGCTTTTCTCTAATAATCGTGACACTTGTCCCACAACTTAGACCCGAACCGTCGAATTTCGACGCACTCATGTCATCGAATGATTTTCATTAACGATATAGTGACAGCGGAGTGTTGGGATGTAGACACTTTCTTCGCTTATTCCTACAATATTATTTCCAAGAGACTATCTATCCTATGGAAGAAGCTTCGGGAACAATTTTTAGGGAGATATTTAACCTGGGTTTGGTCGGTCCTACTCTTTGGAATACCTAAAGACAACAATATACCCCACAACTTAGAATCGCAAGCATCAAAGAGAAGGTTCGCTATTCACCTATCATCGACAATCTACTCGAATACCTAGAGGTCTAAGTCCAAATCGCTAAGCAATTTCTAAGCAGCTATCACTATCATCTCATCATCGATCAATCTCAACTCAAAACGGTTTATGAAATTCATATGCTTCTATATGATCTAGACCTATATATAACAAATGCAATGCAAGACTAGGTTGCATTGCCGTGTTTGTTGTCCTAGGATTTTCTATGATAATGCAGGTTTTACGTCTCGATAAGCCTCACATAAAACCTGCGGAAATAATATTGGAAACGAAAGTTGAAACGAAAGACATGGATACAATTGCGACACCGAGGGTGATGACCAAGCTTAATGTCGAAAAGGAACAAAAAATAAAGGTTACATGTGTGACTACAACCGTGAGACTCAAGATTACAAGCAAGAAGCTTAAATGGCCACCCGAAATCCCAAAGACTCATATGTGTTTGATATGCAATAAACTAGGAACAACAATTGGTAAACCCGTTCCCATTTTTATTCTTGTTTACGATTCTTGTTTCAACAAGTATATAGCACAAAGTGAGAACCACATGGGGATTTTTCAAAATGAATACATTCACGAGGATTGTAAAGGATGCACTTGCTACACTCATGTGTTTGTTCCTCTAGAATTTGTCCATGGTTTGTAGGTGTTACACTCTAGGGAAGAGGAAATTGACACAAAAAAAGTATGGACATCTTCAAGAAACATTCAAGTTCAAAGACCACATGGAGAAGATCATCGTTACCATCAAACCATGAAGGATTCAAGGAATACAACCACTTTAACTCCAAAGAAAATCAAGAAGGATGAACCATTCGATCAAGGAGAATCACGAGAGCAAGCATGTCGCATACAAAATGAGCATAAAGACGACGCCGATCACATCCTCACACACCAAGGTAAGTATCACATTTCATTTGAGTTTAATGATGTTGACTTGGATCCGTTTTGATGTAGGTAAGAAAGTTTTGAGGGCAAAACCTTTGAAAGGGAGGAGCAATGATGAGGTCATCAATCAAGACATGGACAATGACAAACAAAATGCGAACGAGAAGAAGGACGATGGTATGAACGCTATTGGAGGAGAAGAAGTTGGCATCGAGCATACCATGCCAACCATTCCTTCATCTTCACTTATAAGACAAAGAAATCGAAGTCTACATTCAAATATCAATGCATATGTCGAAGAGTGGCTGATCAAAACATCCGAAAATGGTCAAAACAATGCAACGGATGCGATAACGACAACAAGCGCTAAAACGTCACATTGTTATGGAGTTTATGTTGTCCAACACCAAAGACTTCGTGTGCTAACATGTGGGATACTAAGGAGATATTTTAAGATTGTATTCTCAATAAATGGGCTGAAGATCCAAACCCAAAGAACCCAAAAATATTCTACACAAGTCCAAGAAGATAGCAAACCATTGGAGAGGATATGGTGCCACCTTTGTACCAAAATTCGGCCAACCTTTATCAAGCACGAATTTGGGAAGCTTTCTACATTATTTCAACCTCATGAAGACCTTCTTTAAGCCTCCTAGCCATTGAAAGACGTTGGCCTTCCACTTCCACCAACTCTCCACTTGTTCATTACTTTATGGTGTATTGTTTCCACTACCATTCTTTAGTGTTTTGTTAGCTCCTCCTTATGCACGAATTCTCTTTGTTTTCTTATGTCTTTCTAGCCTATTTAAAGGCCTTTGTATGTCAAGAATGATGAGACTTTGAATAGATAAAAATCGAGTTGCATATTTGCTTCTTCTTCTTGGTGTGTCCGAGAATATCGTCTTCTGCACATGTGTGTGTCACCCTTGTGCAAGGTCAAACCATGGTGGATTCAAGGTTGGTTTAGCTCTTTTGAATCCTCTTTCATACCTCTATCTTCCATCAAAAATTGGGAATCATCCAAGTGCTCTTTGGCCTGGAACTTTCCTTCCATCTATCACCTAAACCGAGTGCCCTCGAGTGCTCTGATTTAGTCTGACTTGTGGGTTGATTTCTAAGGATTCTGAATGCCCTTTGGCCTGGATATCCTCTTGAAATCTAACCATAGGAATACCTTAGTGAGTCTCCAAGTGTCCCCTTGTTTCGAGCTTGTTGTATTCGTTGTCCAAAAGCAACATAAGACACGCACGTACAAACCGCATTTCACCGAAAGAAACGAGCGAGACTTCCTTGGCTCCGTGCGTGTATCAACTGATCCAGACACTGGACCAACCGGTCTGGACTCGCGATTACAGAAACCCTAAATTGACGTCTGGACCAACCGGTCCATGGAATAGAGACCACTTTTCGGTGAAATTTTGATTGGTTACGCGGCATGAGATGTGCGACTGATCACTTGCGTGACGAATCTTAAATTTGTAACCCAAAACACAACTAATCCGCAAGTATACGGATGTCGTAGTACCGGGGTCGAACACAAGGATTTAAGCGGTTAAGCTAGGAATCGATTAAAACTAGGAAAATGGTGAGAATAAAATTGGAGAATTATTTTTGTGGTTTTGGAAATTGGAAGAAACAAAACAAGATGAAATAAAATCAAAGACAAATAGTATGCAAAAGGAGAATGTTGAGAATCTATTCCATGCTTTCTTTGAAATTGGGGATTCCAAGATAAAGATCGAGATTTGCTCTCTCGAACTAAATGCCCACTACCCTAGAGACCATTCCATCTACTTTCGTAGCTTGGGATGAAATCCTAAGTGCATTAAACTCTCATGTCAAAATTCTAGGTTGGATTGAACCGAATTTCTTCGCTTTCAATCGCAATCCATTTGAATGAATGCATCAAGGAGTCAAGGTGTCATGTCTCCATGGAAACCAAGACTCTAAAATCAACTCAAAGAATTTTCATCCCAAGAGAGCATTAAAATCCATTCATCTATCCAAAGCATTCACTCTCATTCAATGGCAATCCATCTACTCATGAATCCTAAGTCTCCAAAGAGATTCAATCAAAGAAGGATATGGAAAATAAGCATAGAAATCACCCATTGAATAAAATGAAAGTCTAATCAAAGCATAAACATAGATTCATCCTCAGTCCATAACTATCTAACTACTCACAAACCATGTTCAAAAGGAAAGCAAAACTAAGACAAAGTGCAGAAATCATAGAGAGAGAGTAGAGAGATGCTCAAGAGGTCTTAAATCTTCAATAAATTCTCCTTCTTCTTTCTCCTCCAAGAGCTCTCCTTTTCTCTCCCAAGGTCTCTATTTTCGGCCCCCAATCGAACTTAGGGTTCCCCTCACTCATTTCCCCTCAAAAACCCCAAGAGAATGGCGAAACGGCGTAGCTTTGGCGGAGTCTGTCAAGTGGTCCGTCCGTTCTAGGTTGGTTCGGTTTGTCAGACCGTCCGTTCCAGCTTCTTCACAGACCATCCATTCCTGTATCTTCGGACCGTCCGTTCTGCAACTGTGGACCGTCCGTTATGCGTTGTATTACGGTCCGTCCGTTCTGGCATCCTGCTTCGGAGGGCTGTCTTGTGGTCTGTCGGGTCTGTGCACCTAGTCCGTCCGTTCCAGCATATGGGTCCGTCCGTTCCAGACCTAAAATCTGGGGAATTATGCTTATGTCTTCTCCGTTTCGTCCCGAAAACCCTCGAGTTCCTGCACTGGTCAAAACCTAGTCCCAGAGACCTAAAGATGTCTCTAATATGCCTAGTATGTGTGAAAAACGTTTAGAAACCAAAGGCATACTCGGTATAAAATCCAGATAAAATCCGAGCCATCAGCGACCCAACGACGAGAGTGATTTGTAGCGTGAGTATCTTGGGTAGTTTTGCATAGTGTTAAACGGTATATCGGTCGGGACCGAATACCGTGATACACGTGACTATAACAGGGATGTATGTATCCCCGATGTGTGCCATGTTTATAGCTTGCTCGTGCGCCGCAAGTCAAGTGTGATTGTGTATGTATTAGTCGTATGCGAATGGCCAACATCACGTGAGGTGATGGGCGTGCGAGGCACCCCTAGTCATGTTGACTTGACTAGATCATGGCTAAACCCTATGGTGAACTCCGTACGGGTGTGATTGTATTTCCATTATGTTATAGACTTGACATCGGTAGTCACATGATATGACAAGCGCATAAGATGCGCGTAGTCGCATGCGATGCGATGGCCAACGTCACGCGAGTGACAGGCATGTGAGGCGCTCCTAGTCATGCTGACTTGACTAGGGTCTATGGCTAAACCCCATGGTGGACTCCATATGGGTGTGATTGTGATTGATATGATTGTGATGGATGTGATGTGACGATGCATGTTATTTATTGTTTTCATGATGATTGTGAATCATCGTATAACAACGTTCTTGCTGAGAACGAGATTACCGAGTTCAACCCAGACTACTCACTAAACAGTTGTGCTTAACCCTCGTAGTTTTATCTTTTTCAGATCACGAGGAGTACGTCTAAAGCATCCGACGACGATGACCTGAGAGAGACATTATCATGTATGGGATTTGTATTTTGGACTACGGGACTAGTATTCCCGCCTTTTGTACGGTTGTATTATTACTATTCAGATATGTGTTGTTTTGCGATACTGATCACGTGTAGTACTTCCACTGCTTACTCTATTTGTTTAAAAAAATGATTTTGGGATTTCGTATTTTCGCTTCCGCGTTTTATTTTTTTATTATCATACTCGTCCATGTGGCACAACCTGTATATTGTATACGGGTTACGGGTGTCACATCATGTACGGGTTTTGTATTTTGGACTACAAGACTTATATTCCCGCCTTTTATACGGTTGTGCTATTTATTATTCGGACATGTGTTATTTTGTGACATTGATCGCGTGATGTATTTCTGCTGCTTACCCTATTGAAAAATATTTTTGGATTTCGTATTTTCGCTTCCGCATTATTATTATTATCGGTATTTGTTCATGTGGCATAGTCTGTACACTGTATACGGGTTGTCACAACTTTTAGTATCAGAGCCACGTTCTTTCCACGGGAAGGAATTGTGCTCATTACCTAATGGTTTTCTACGAAAAATGTTTTCAAACCATGTCCGAAAAAAGTCCTCTTTTGTTAAGGTCCATACATGTTGATGCTACTTCAAGTCGTCGGATGCTATGCTACATTCGCGTGTCATAGCAAGAATGATATGACGTGTTCGCCTTGCAAGGGAAGCAACACTTCCCATGTATGAACCCCTTCACCAGCGCCGAAAACGTTAGACAACTGGGAAAAGACTCCATAGTCGGAAATTTCCCGATGCTTTTCCCTGATGATTTGTTGGGATTACCGCGAAGTCGAGGAATGGATTTCACTACTGGCATACTACCAGATACAAAGCCAATCACAAAAACTCTGTATCGGATGACACCGGTTGAGATGCCCGAATTGAAAGAGTAGCTGAACGAATAAATGAAAAAGGTTTATACGTCCCATTGTTTTACTATGGGGAGCACCAGCACTCTTCGTGAATAAGAAGGACGGGAGTATGAAATTATGCATCGATTAACAAGGGTTCAACCAAGTAACTATCAAGAATCGGTACCCGTTACCAAAGATTGATGAGTTACTGGACTAGCTACAGGGGGCCTAGTTGTTTTCGAAGATTGATCTACGATGAGGATATCATCAGATATGTGTCAAGGAGGATGACATGAAGAAGACGGCGTTCCACACCCGATATGGACACTTTGAGTTTGGGTTTATGCCTTTTGGGATCAGAACGCACCCGCGGTTTTCATGCAGCTCATAAACCGCGTATTCATGGATTACTTGGATAGTTTGTCATTATCTTCATCGATGACCTTCTCATCTATTCGCCAGATCCGCAGACACATGAGGAGCATCTGCGGAAAATATTATGGAGGCTAAGAGAGAATCGGCTGTACGTGACGTTCAGCAAATGCAGCTTTTGTCTACAGGAGATTGGATTTCTGGGACACGTGGTATCGGTCCAGGGTATTCAGGTGGATCTAGCCAAGATTGAAGCCGTCATGGAGTGGCAACCTCCGACTTTTGCAACCGAGGTCAGGAGTTTTCTGGGACTTGCAGGCTACTATCGGCGATTCATGGAGGGATTCGCCAAGATAACTCGATCTCTGACAAAGCTGACTGGGAAGAACGTCAGGTTCGAGTGGATGACAAAATGTGAGGAGAGCTTCAGACAATTGAAGCGGAGATTGACATCTGCACCGATCTTGGCATTACCATGGCCGGAAATGCTATACGAGGTATATACCGATGCATCTAAGCATGGATAGGTTGTGTGTTGATGCAGAAGGGACACGTAATAGCTTACGCATCGAGGCAGTTGAAGAAACAGGAGTGCTTCTTCCGGGATTTGCAATCCCTTTTGAAGTTCCCTTCTTTGCCCACAACCAAAACCTCGTTTCTAATTTTGTTTTTTACTTTGATCTTGATTTCTTCCTACCCTGACCTTTGGAGTTGCTTCTTTGAGTTGGTCTTCCTCTAGCCAGTAATCCTTCGTTTGTTGCTTTATTTCCTTTTGCTGCCAACTCTAATTCTTTAGAATAGGTTGCACTTATAATTTCATCAAAGGTTATTGTCTCCTTTCGACTGTATTTTAACGTATCCTTCAGTTGATCATATTGGTCTAGAAGAGAATTGAGGAGTATTAAGATCTGATCCTACATTGTCTTCTATAGATTTTGCGGGATCCATCTTGAAATCAATGAGCCTTTGCTTGAGATGCATTTTGTTTGGTAAAGATTTATAGAGAAATTTTGATAGTTTAGAGATAGAAACGTATAGAATATTTTCGGATTGTTCTTCTCAGTTTAGTATATACCGAGAGAAGAAGAGTATGAAAATAATATGAATAGCTTCGTGTATTTTCATGATGATAAGTTGTACAAATAAATAGAAAGACTTATCCTAAGAGAAATAAGGAAACAATATATTTACAAGGAAAAAATAAATCTGTCAAAATTAAAAAGAAAGGGAGAAAGAGCCGTTGGTGTTTAGTGGCCTCCAACGGTCAATCACCCATTAACACCTTGAAGTTTATCCATCCAAATCTATGAGAATCTGATCAAGACGTCATAGGATAAGGCAACTTTAGGGTATCAATGTTGTAATCTTCAATCATTTTAACAAATTCATCCTCCAAAGCTTTCCAAATCCGTGCTGCAGTCTATTCATTTCTAATTTTCCGCGTGATCGAATCTGATAGGCATAGAAGGATTAAGTTCATAACCCTTTTGTTCCTTTTGTACCTCGTTTCCTGAGACATACCTTGACCCTTCTTAGTTTCTTGCGAAGACTATTCTTTCTCTACCTCTACCTTGACATCTTCTTCTTTGTTAGATCCAGAATTCTTGTTTGCTAGTTTTGGTTCCTTCGGATCATAATATGGACTTAACACATCTGAAAGACGTAGGATTTAAACTTGCGTGTATCTTATCTTTCCACAGAGAAAAGTCACCTTTTCCGTCATATTTTCCCACCTCGAGCTTGCACGCCATCATTGTTAATCCTAAGAGATTCAAGCCCGATCCTATTCTTCCATATGCTTGCTTGGTTCTTGTTACCTTTTGTTCTTTGATTGATTATTGAAACCTCCATAAGCCTCAAACGGGCTTTGATACCAATTGATGTTGGAAAGTCAATTCCGATCAGATCTTGCCGAACCACGAACCTAAAACTACCGAATTCGCTCACGAATCTTGCGAAAACAAAACCAAGAAGAACACGAGAGTTAACGAGTTCAGATTACCCGCTGTGAGTAATCCTACGTCTCGAACCAGGGGGTTCTTCCATCCTAAGCCAGAATCCACTAAACTTTGAGAGAGAGTTTTACATGAACGAATACAAGAGAAATCGAAAAGAATGAACTGAGGAAGAAGATGACGACTCTGCCATTTAAGCTCGATTCTAAGCTCCTTCTAAGCTCCAACAAATTAGCTACCTTTCTTTTAGGGACTGCGCCTCGTTCTGGCTCGGTTATTCATCTCGATTAATTGTCAAACCGGCAAATCTCTTTCTGAATTTCAGCAAACCAAATCCCACTGCATTATTAAGAAGCTTGCTCTGTTCTATTATGCTTCTCCTTCTGCAGCTCCTTGAGATCACAACCAATATCCAACAACATCCAACCAAAAAAAGATCATATGACAATCACGGAGACACAACCATAGGCACAGATATGGCCGCAATTTCAGAATCTCTTACAAAAATCAAAAGCCAACCAAAGTGATTGTTGGGTGTGTTATTTTATGTCTCATATTCATGCATGGTTAACCTTCAATTTCATACTAAGATTTTCGAGTTTAATAACTTTTAGAACATACAACCAAATCATGCATGCTACACACCATTAGAAAGATAATTTCAATATCTACGAAAAGATATCAAGAACATGCAATTCCGATAACAGTACAGAAAGTTATGATCAAACCAATATCATTAAATCTATATGATTTTTTAAAAAATCGGAAAACCAAATCCGAATCCATGGCGAACCGTATCTCCTTAAGAAAATTATTCCACGCACGGTTAATAGAATATATCTTCCCAGGATATGACGGACGTACCTCATCGGAACAGTGGTACTTCAAATTCCGATATCTTGTCGAATTTAAAGAACGGTTTGAATCACAAAGGGGAAAATATGTGTTTTTCTTTTCTTTAGAAAACTCTGTTAAAGAAACTAATTAGAAGCAGAAGCAAGCGAATCTCATGTTCATACACACACGTAGAGAAAAAACCAATGTCAGATTACTCATTTGCCAAATGAATCTCGACTACAAATGAGTAGAGCTCTGATTCCAACGCAATCCTATTCATGTAATAAGAAAAAAAGTTCATCAATAATCCTCCAATGATGCTTCAAACCACAGAACAAAAGAAAACGACAATTTTTACATTCACCCATTGGCTCATTCCCAGAAGAAAAAAAAACCCATTTCAATTTTTCACCGGGGAAGAAAATCAGATGGGTTGATGAAAATCCACAAACTTTTTCCTTCCCCTTTTGTTTGCGTTGCTCATTTCGAGGAAGATAGCGCTCGAGGGCCGGAGGCGGGAAATGGACGACACGTGGCGTGACAATCACGGAATTGGATGTCACCGCAGATGACGTTAACGAACCTCTTCATCGTCGTCGTCTTCACTCTTCATCATCATCCTCCTCCGATTAGGCGAAAACTTTCCGCATTTTAAGGTATTTTCCTATTATTATTTTTTATTTCTTTGAAAGGCCGAAGACTTGGCGCATTTTAAGGATTTTCTTTTTCAGGATAAAATCCCTTATTTATCTGGTTATTTGCGGTTCAGTCACTAGAATTATTGATTCCCGCAAATACCCTTGTTCTTTAACAGAACTAGGGGAAGACCCGCGCGTTGCGCGGGTTATTCCATTTTTTTATTATACTTTTTATTAAAATTTTTGATATAAATATTATAAAAATAATATATATTATTTGTTTAATATATGAAAAATATAATGGTCACTATTATTTGTATAAGGAATAAAAATAGTGAAAGAATATAATGGTTATTCCATATGCATTGCATATTAATAATTTATTTTGGTTGTACTTAATACTCATCATTATCTTATTCAATCTTTGTTTAAAATTTAATTATAAAATAAAAATAAAAATGATATTTTTAAATATTTGGGATTTAAATAATATCGGTTAAATAGTAATGTATATATAAAAAATTAAAACCTAATTGAAATATATTATCACCAAGTGAATCTGTCTCTCCTCTTAAATATTAAATATTATAGTTTCATTTTATTTTAAAACTAAATAAATTTATATACATGGCGTTTAACTTTTTAATAATATAAAATTGTATATCTATATAAATCTTTGTAAACAATTTTGTATTGAACCACATAATAACTAACTCGTGTTTAGGGGTGGGCATAATATCCGAAAAAACCGAACCGATCCGTATCCGAATCGAAAATTCGGATATCTGGAGTTTACAGATCGGATACGGATATTTATTTTGAAATATTTGTCGGATACGGATATGAAATTCGAATTATCCGACATATCCGACCCGATCCATACTAATTAATAATATTATTAAATATAAAAATAATTTGCTATAAAAATTTAAAATATTTTATACTTACATATTTTATATGTATATTCAAGAAATATTTTGTATATATTGAGATTTAGAATATTTAATCTTTTGAATATTAAAATTTATTATGTTTAAATTTTGAATTTTGAACTTTGAATATATTTGTATATAATAGATTATGATTATATTTGTATTTAAATTGATTTAAAATATTTAAATTATGAATTTTAAATTGTGAATAACATTTATATTAAATAACTTATATATTTTCTTTTATATTTAAAATTGTTATTTAAATTTGAATTTAATTTTTATAATTTTTATGTCGGATATGGATATTCGCAAATATCCGCGATATTTACGGATATCCGGAATTTCGGATGTCCGTAAATTACGGATCGGATACGGATAATAAAATCGAGTATTTGTGCGGATCGGATACGGATACGGATATCTCAAAAATCACAGATATCTGATCTGTGTCCACCTCTACTCGTGTTAATAAAGTTAATATAATAATGATATATTTTATATATGAATCTATTAAATAATCTAGAGATTCATATATAACTTAATAATTATTGTCACTAAACTTTGGATTTACACACACTTATAATAATTCTTCTGACATTCAATTTGTCTATTTATGAATGAATTTCTTACGCAAGATCATTCCATATGGGAATATTTATAATATTGCTGAGGTTTTTTTATATCGAAATGACGTGTTAGATTTTTAGAAATAAGTAATATTTTATTTTTTAAAATATATTAGTTGCAATTTAATTAAAATATTGGGAACTTACTCTTGTAATAATAAAAAAATAATAATTTTCAAAGTTGATGATACTATTCGTAAATTCGATCGTTCTACCACGATCAAAACTACAATAATATATTTGCAATTTAAAAAATGTATTAGTTATAAAATCTATGTTTATATTTTTAAATTTTTTCTTTTGTAATTTGGTAAGATTGATATATGTTTAATTTTGGTTTTCCAACGCTAGCAAATTATGGTATAAATTTATCTGGAATTCCTCTTTCGTAATACTATGACTATGATATTAACTTTTTCAACAATAATATTTTTTTCGATGGGACAAACTATACAAACACTCAAAAAATGACTCTACCATCCAAATCAATTTTTTTATATTGAGTTATTGACCTGAAAATGTGATATATTACTGGT